TACATAAGCGTGTAAATTGAGTCTGTAAATAAGCCAACTTATTTCATTACGATAAGAGAGAAATGATCAACTTTGTATGCAATTACTGTTAAGTAGTCGGTGCAAGCGGCAAGGCCTTTTGTTCTGACCCATTAGTTGTTGACATTTTGTCCGATTGTCAAAAGTTCTGATTGTCATATTGACGCAAAAGATGACTATTTGTCGCAAACGATATTAATGATATTGAATTTTAATTGTAACATATGTTGAACTTAAAGAGGAATAACAAGGTTTTCAAAACGATTAATGGCAACTATAAAAAAACAGCATTTCAAACAAGACTGTATAATGTGATTGAAAAGTGATATGTTGGCATTTATATGGTCATCCTAATGGTTACATTATATTTCACTTAATATATCATGGTACCGAAACAAATATCTAAGTCTCGGGAGAATTCCTTTTTAAGTTAATATTACAGTTTGGGACATTGATTTCTTAAAAAAAATATATAAAAGACTTTGTTAACAAAATAATTCAAAGTTTTTAAAATATAATGTTTGACTAAGCTTTATATAATTTTGTTTGCACCTTGCATCTATGATTTCCGGATTTGTAATTTCATGAAACTAAAGTGAGCTTACATTTGGGGACTTATTGTATAGACTTTCATTAAGCACATCCCAGAAATATTTTAAAATTTGCCACTTTCTTAGATTCGCTAACATGCCTGAAATAAAAAGAAAGACACTTTTTTAAGATTTCACTTAATGGACGATAGAACCAAATAAACTTTGGTTGTATAATTTTATGAATGACTGTTAATATACCTGGCAAAACACGACAAAGCTTATTTTGTTAATATTGGATGTAAGAGATATTAGGAATAGAATACAGCAAACTAGCATTATCTCGACTTTATTGACAAGGAGAAGTTTGGAAGAGTATTCAGTTGCTTAAATGTAGGACAAAATATACCTACAAAATTGATGCCTCTGTCAGATCCTTACATAAAATAACATATAGTTTTGTTTATCTGAAAGATTAAATATCCCGTTATATGATATGTTAGAAATCATAATTAACCGTTTGTCTGAAACCTTGTGGACTTAAAAGATTATGAACATTTTCTCAATATAAGATTTTAATGCATTTTTATGATATCCATTATTTTTGGTAATTGTTGTTTACATAAAACTTCAAGAAACTATCAGTATTTATTATTGTTCTATGAATATAATGCACTTACTTTAAATGCCGTAGCTTGCTGTCAATTATCAAAAGTCAAAACATGCTAAGATATTTATTGTTTAAATTTTTTTTATTTGGTTTCCCGTTACATTGACCAAAATGTTACTCAGTGACTACAAATGACTAGTTTGGCCATCTTTTGTTTTAGCCATTACATGTTCTACTGTTGTAATTATTGTGTACATTGTATGAAAGTCAAATTACTTCGTTGTCTATTTTTACTGCCCTAATCATTAATTATTTCACATTTTCTTCATGTGTTAGGCTTCTTATGTAGTTTGGCTGAGATATAGTTTGATATCAAAGTAATGTTCCGGTGTTTATAACTATAGGCTGGTTAAATGTTAAAAGCTTCCATATTCAATCTGACCTTTCTCTATGCTTGTAGTGATTATCGTTTGAAGATGAAACAAGTTGATAAACACTCAAAGGGCTAATAATGATGTGTTATAGCGTAACTGCATTACTGAAATTGCCTGATACCTAAATCCAAATAAACCTGTATAACATATTGAAAGAAAATACTCATTAACAAACAAAGATATTTCTTATTTCAATACATTATGTGAAATTCTAAATTCCTTGAGGGTTTCTTTCATAACTTGAATGTTACTTCATGATGTAACCGTGCCTAATCTAAGAGATAAGTATCTAATTTGATTTCCAAGAATAAGGTCTCCAGAGCTTGAAAACATTCTAGATGACGATCATTAAATCTGAAAGTGCTTTTAAAAATAAGTTCATTTTGAGGCAACGGACAACCATCTATTTCCACTAATATTCTACGGAACCTATTAAATATTTTGTAAAAGAATGAATGTAAAATTCTTTGTCTTATATTCTTATTTACAGCTTAGTAATAACCATAGCGAGATCCAGCAAAATTCAAATAATTAGTGTAGCTAGTATTCTTTCAAAACATGACGAGACAAAAACTATGAAAAAAATGTCATGAAATTTAGCCATTTATGTTACAAGATTCCAAATAATATTTTGCCTACAATATCGTAAAGTAACAGTGACAGATTATTTTTCTTGCCATAAAAGTTATAGTAGATTCTAACAACGCTTACCAGAAATTATTGCTTTTCCAATTATGTGTTTTCATATTTTTGTGTCACGAATATAGACTATTTCAACATTAGAACCTATTTAACATTCATCTTTAATTATTCCAATAAATGAGAAGAATAATTCCTTTAAAGGAAAGTTCAAATTCGGGATTTTGTTTCCCACTGACAAATTTAATCTAAAATATATTATCACCCCTCACTTTTTTCGTAATGTTAATTTCCCATAGGCCTCTGGGAGTTATTTTTACTGTTAATGCAAGTGTACCACGTGACTAAGAATTTTGTACTGTTACATTGGTAACAGTATTTTTTAACAGTATAAAATCTGGTCACGTGGTCTATTTTTTTATATAAAATGAAATAAAATGGCTGCCATTTTTTTCTCGATTCATTTTTATTTTCGACGTTAAACCCCGATAGGACATCAATTTCTTCTCTGGAGTAACTATGACAGCCATAAAATTTAGTTGTTTGCACCTTGGTGTGCTTTTCGCGTATAAAATATCTTTTTGTTGAATAGTCAAAAAGTAAACATCCATTTTCAAAGGAAGTAATTGCAATGTAAATAAGTATGTGTCAAATTGGAACATGCAGACGATTTAAGCATGCAACAAAGGATGATTTAATAATTTTAATCAATGAAACGTTACAGATATGGTGGACAGACATAGGATATCATCGTTATTTTGTCAAAAACCATGCGAAGAATATTCTGGAAACAGAAGGATCAGATTTCACAGATCATAACCGTATAAATGGGTTAGTGTTTTGTTTTCTAAATAAAACACAGCTTATTGTATGTTTATGACTTGTAGATATCATCACTTGCTTAAAGAATAAAAGAAAAAGAAAACTTCTCAAGTAGGCCTAAAGTACACTTAAAACTTAAAAGGTAAGGACAGTTTAGTTATTGTTACTCTTGGTTTTTTTTGTTACAGTTAGATTTAGTTGACAATTTCAGATCATCTCAGTATTTTTTTCGGGGTAATAAAATAAATAACACATGGGTTTGTGAGTAACAGTAAAAATATCATCCCTCGTAAAAACGCCTCGGGTAACAGTATTTTCCCCAGAATGATATTTTTATTGTTACCCACAAACCCATGTGTTATTTATATACTATAACTTGTTTGTAAAATATGTAATTATTGATATTTATATTGTCAAATACAATTTTACATGTAGAATGTGTTATTATTTGAGTAGCATAATGAGTCTTAATGAAGGTATAATAACATTTCAAGATTTAAAACAGCTATTTTTAGGAAAATGTACGTTGATTCGCACATTCAATTATTGTCAATATTTTATCTGGCTGGCAAAGGATCTGATTGTCGTTTTGACTCAATGAATGACTATTTATCTACTCAGGAGACGAAATTGAGGTTTTTATTGAGCATATAGGGAGTTTAAAAGAATATTATTAAGAAGGTTTTCGTCATAACATAAATACTAAGCAAAGTCTTCCGATTAATTTAAAACGGAACCTTTTTATTTAATAATATATTTGACTGACATTGTTCATATTTTGGCATCTACATTTAGAGAGAATACTACTAGAATAACACTTTCCATGACAAGAAGTTTTACAAGGAGGTGTCAAGAGTTCATCTCAGATAGTAAGATGTTCCTAATAACGTCAAAAATAGATACTATATCCGTTTCTGAAACAATAATTACTTTCTTGGTTTCAAGTTACATGATAAGGAAGAGAAGATTTATGTGTTCATCTTAATGCTGTTTCACTACAACTATCATTATATCCGAATCAATTATCTTAGCTTGCGCTAATCTTCTTTATCAAGTATATTGTAAGTAATTCTTTTATCTCAACTTGCATTGTGAACGCATGCGATAAAATAGTCCCGTACTTTGTTTAGCGTAATAACAACGTCTATAAAGCTTAAGTTGAGCTTAAACTATTCGGTTTGCATTTCTAGATGGAGTTTGTCAATGATAACATCTGTCAGAAACATACTAGTCTTTGCAAATAAACAAATACTTTTAAACAACAAACGAGTATTTAAAAAAATGAAATTCCATCGGAACATTTTAATTATTTACCAAATATAATGATAATCGTCTAAATGCTGATAATATCTTAATCTTAAAAGATCGAAGCAAAGCAATGAGAAAATATTCAGTTTATTGAATTTACTGAAATGCTAAAAAAAATTTCAAATTGTCCTCCTCACAAGTCGTCCATCACCTGATTTTGTTTAGGATATTACTTAAATATAAAATATAGCCATATATTCAGGTTCAATTTCCGATTGCACGGGTTTACGAAGCATTTCACAATGAAAGTTTGAAAGACAGACAACAGATGTCTCTTCATGAAAATGACAAGTTTATCCGATAATTTCTTAGAAATGAAATGAATGGATCCCGTGTTTTTGTATCGGGATTATTTTTCAAGGCATTTTAAATTATAATAATGTATTTTTTCTCTTTTAAACAGGTGAAAGAATCAATTTCGTTTTGATTTTTTCTCGAATGTTACAAGAAACCTTCATAAAGAAGTTATACTGGTATTATTCAGGAAGAGATGCGGAATAAGATATTTCGAAAGTTATGCAGAACTGAAAACATTCATATGTTGTCAATTAAAATTAGAATTACTCAAATCAATTTGATGATTTATTAAATTAAAAAACATTAATTAATACATTAATGTATTGATGAATATTATACAAAGTTATTAATAAATACACTCAGTAACAAAATTTTAATAACGAATATATTCACGTTTATAATGAATAAAGCAACAAAGTTGATAGTGAATACAGTAACGCAATCATTAATACATACATGTTATGATGTACAGTAATGAATTTATTATTATTGACAACAGTAACAGAATTATTAATGACTGTAGTTACAAAGTGGATAATGAATCTAATTCCATGGTAACAAATACAGGAATAGAATAATTAAAGACTACTGTCATAAAGTTAATAATGAATACAGTAACATAAATACAAATTTGAAATGAACTAGGTGATACAATTTTTAATGAATTCAGTTACAAATTTACTAATGAATACAACAATAAACTTAAAAAATAATTACAAATAATAACAAATACAATAAAACCTTTTTTAGATAACCAAGTCCATTTTGAAGGTTGCGATAGCATAGCTGATCTATCCACTCACGATGTAATGGACTTTTTTGCCTATGATAAGCATTGCATTAATGCTCCTGTCATTTATTCAGTCATTTCACTTTCTAACACTTTCTGCTAAAAACGCCATGTTATTACTGTAAAAACCATCTTTGAAAAGTGTTTCATCTCGTCTATATTTGCAAAAACTAAGTGAGCACACTTCTCGGTCTATTTTCACTGTTAAATTTATATCATTAATTGAAATTTATAAATAACACAATACCCGACACATGAGCCACGCCCTGTTGGAACAACTTTTATACCAGTGTCGTTAATATGCAAATGTTTCTAGATTGTCACGGAAAGTGTAATCCTCATTTTCTACGGTAATTAATTATATGTCATTACGAATTTCGCTGTCTTTGTTCTGGCTCCATGATATAACAAATTCTTGATGTTGACAGGGACATGTTGACACTATAATTATGCTGTCCACTATTCTATAAAAGCTTTCACTCAGAATATGCACTTGTCAAGACCGGCTTCGACATACTCTGAAAAGGAATGAATGCAATAGTTGACTGCAAATGTAAATTCATGAACTAAAGACGCACTATAAATAAATATCATAGAAGTAACGATTGTATAAACAAATAAAGACTGAATATTTGTATATACCGGCATTTCCTTGAATTCATTTTTTTTGGAAATGTTTTCATAATTGAATACTAAAAGAATCACCATCTAATTGAACGTTATATACTGCTTATACTAGTGCTAGAGGGACGATGTCAGTAGTAGAAATGTAATACCATACTGTTGTCATACAAAGAAACACACCATTAAAATCTATTTTGCCGTCGTGATTTTTGTCCGCTCTTTTTATAAGGCTGTCTATTTCTTTTTCCGTCAGAGGGTCTCCGCTGGTGGAAATTGCGTGCCTTAACTCGTCCCGTGAGATGAAACCATCTTGGTTTGTATCCAGGACACGAAAGGCTGTTTTCAACCGTTCTTCTTCAAAGTCGTTAGTTATCATTTTTACCCGCATAGCTTTGAAAAACTCGGCGAAATCTATGTAGCCATCATCTGAAAGACAATGATAAAGAAATACAAATTACCGTAAACCCACAGAAATACAAAACTGACAAACTTTTGATCTCAAACGATAGCTTTGCAATAATTAAATACGTGGCTTTTTTTAAATATGTCGAGCATGCCTTTTCTTGTTTTCTTTTTGCATATACTTTTTTAAAGTTATTTAGTGTTATTTTTTTATAAAGAAACCCCACAAATTACATTTATACTTGGTAACGTCATAAGAACAACAATATAAATACAGAGCGTAAAAATGGAAATGTTTGACACACATTTCATGATAAAAATAATGAATTTCGTTTATATAACTGTTCTTTAAACGTTAACTCTTGTTTGCTACGATACAAGAACGTCCATAAAATGTATTGCTGATTAACAACGTATAATTACAAACGTCGGTGTAAAATCATGTACCATTTTCATCATGTTCCACGACTATTTCATCCAGATCTGTTTGTGTTGGTTTGAAGCCTGCAAGTTTGTACGCTCTCGCAATTTCTTGTTTAGATATCTTGCCGTCACCATTTTCATCCAATGCTGAGAATGACTGAAGTATGACTGAAAAGATGGAATCGGATATAAAATAATATTCAGTATTTTGAACTACAACATATCTCATCCCCCTAACACCGCCTCTAAACTGCATTTTAATATAAACTGATTAATGAATCTGAAGAACAGAAAAATTAGAGAACTGTTTAGTACATTATTTAAGTTAGTGATGACAAAAAACCCTTACCTTTTATTTGGTCCTCTTTAAGATAAGTCTCCTTCGCAAGGCACTCGGTGTCTGCCTTCTTTAGTGAATGTCCTTTGGACACGAAATTTGAAGTACATAGAATGAAATCTACCTCGAGCACGATCTGCCATAATCTAATGTTTGTGTCATATAAGGGCGCAGCGCGTTTCAAACACAAATTATTCTGTAATTTTTTTTAATTAATTAATTAAATTTTATTTAATTTATTTATTTAAACGTCTAATCATTATATCATTTAAAAAGTTAGAGTATCTTATCTCTATGAAGACAATCCATGTAACTGTATTTACGACTTAAGTAGTATATCCTGTTAGTGAAATTATAATTCAATGCCTTTTTACCCACTTTAGAAAATTACTAAGGAATGTTTGCTACTTCTAAAAGATGAATACAGCGTTTCATTTAACCATGAATGGTTTTATTTCAGCTGGATTTGATACGAAAAGAAGTGAATCTTAAGCCGAAATAAACAGTTTGATGTTTAGATAAATATTGATGAGATTGTGTAAAGAATATTCAGATTTGTGGTAGAAAATTTAAGTATAGAGGATGAATGGTGATGTAAATTTAATCATAGAAATGGTTGCCTTTTCATAATGGTTGTCTAATTTACCGTGCAGGAACGATACATTGATAAGATTTCACGGTTGTATAGACTATTCAAACAGTTGTAATATCCAGTTATGCATATCTTCAGAACGAATCTATTTTATTATTTTATGCAAAGTTTTAAACATTAAGTATACAGCGCAGTAAGAGATGTATATTTGTACAATCTCGGATTCATTAATTTCAATGTAAATTTGTTTTTTTTAAAAAATAATTTGGTTGTTTGTTTTAAATGGGAATTAGGTTTTAGGGTAAATAAAGTTATAAAAACCCATTTTACGAAAAATTTGGGAAGGGTGTTGCCTTCACTAAAACTTTTTTGTTTGGGGCATAAAAAATCATTTTAAAAATTTTGGGAAAAAAGTGGAAAAATGAGTTTTTTTTCCTCCTTCCCTTTAAAACCCTTTTGGGCCAAATTTTTCGAAAAAATTGAGCCCTTTTTTTTTTAAAGACGTTTCAGTATCTGTATGTAAAACGGATGAAGGAACACAAATATTTAATAGATTTACATGAACTTTCGTTTCTCTTTTACGGAGGAGTACACTGACCCCTCTTATATATTTTATTTGCCTTAAAGAACAAAAGCCTTTGTATAATACATATCTTTAAAAAATTGACAGGTTATATGATATATAAAATATATTTTAAAGGTTTTACCATAAATCACAAATATGCTAGGTTTCGTCGATGATAGTCGGAAATTTAAGAGAACATGACAATTCCTATCATGCAGTAGATGTGCACTTAAGGCTTTATCATATAAACATCATGAAAAAAAGATTAATGAAATTATAAATTGAATTTGATTTTCTTTGTATAATAAGTCGCTTCTATTATAATTATATTTAATAGCCTATTTTCTCGTTTTGATCTAAACACCATGTAAATAGAAATTACCTTTTTTGTTATTTATATTATTAGTTATGTAGATGTTAATTTACGTTCATTTACACCGACTTCGATACTTATTCTTAAACTACCTTTCGAAACACATAAAACATACATCTAAGCAAAAATTCAGGTATAGAATAGATATGTACGTATGATTATATATCATCTCTTTATCTGTCGAACAAATAATGCCCTGAAAACTTTTTAAAAATAGATAATAGTGGTTTAACAAACAAAAAAAAACGTCTGCTTTTAAAAGTAGAATTTAAATGAAAAGAAGAAAAAACATAGTTCTTACCAAAGTTTTAAGTTTGAAATACGTACGTATCTTTAACAGTATAGTAGCCAAAGAAGAGAAAATATTAATATAAACTATATTAATAACTTAAAAAAAAACCTGTTGTAATCATGTATCGTCTCATTTAAACAGGCAAATCAATCATATAAGGGGGGTCGGTATACTCTTCCGCATTTTTTTGACCAAAAACATATGTAAGTTATAAACAAAATGTAAAAGTTATCAGCCCACAAATCGACCTGAAATAACAAAAGAAACAAATTCTAGCACAGATTGCTCATAAACGACCCCTATATGCCTTCATATTATCTACACGTATTAATATTGCAAAAAATCGAGATTACATATATAGATAATATAATCATACCCTGTTTGTTTACTGTTTTAAACAGTATTAGTATTCTATTCCATCTTGTAAAGTGATATAGCAATTCTGAGTGAAAGGGAAACAACCACTACTGATTTTTTAAAATTGGTCCAAATAGCATTTATAGTTCCTTAGGGAGAACTTTTCTCTGTAATGACAAATTAACGGAAAAAAGTATACCTCTTACTCAGTTTATGTGTAATATTTGTATTTTATTTGTGTCCATATTGATGCATCACAAGAAATGTCGAAATGGAATACTCATTCGACTTTCATGACGGTCATGGTTACTAACTTTATTTTCCTCGCTTATGTTAATAACGCTAAATATACTATACAACTGAACGTTTATGTCATTAACCCATAATGTGATTACCACAAGTACACCATTTTTAATTGACACAATTAATGAACATATTATTCCTATACGTATTTTGAATACCACATGCCATCATGAAACATAACATTTAAGTTACCTTGTGATTTTTTAACATCTTTGATGTCAGTGTCGAAAGCACCAGTGTGCGGATATAACTTATAGTCACATAATGACACCACCTCAGATGTAAAGCAATAATGATTATATAAAGGATATTTGTTTAGTTCAGTGTAAGATCGAAATATATTTCACCGAGTGAGCAGCAAAAGGTATATTTCACGAGTGGCGCAGCCACGAGTAAAATATGAACGTTTGGTGTTCACAAGGTATTTCACTGAAACAACGTAAGGGGCTTAAATTCAAATCAGTGAAATTATCAAAGTGGTAATTTCACTGTTTCAAACAGTGAAATTATCAAAGTGGTAATTTCACTGTTTCAAACAGTGAAATTACCAGTTTTATATCACTGATATATTTCTATAAACCACCGAAAAGCATGTAATAAAAACGCGTTAATTGGTAAATATTGTCATTGTCATTATGAAACCACTTTGAAACTATCTTAAACGTGAATTCAGATATATCATATTTATCATTAGTGCGTGCTTTCTCCAAATTGTTACTCACACTGACTTCTTCTTCTCAATGACGATTTAAGCATTTGTATACGCCTAGTAACAGACGATAGTGATGTTGTTTGAGAAACAGCTACAGCAACAACGGATATTTAAATTGCACCTCTAATTGTAAAATATAGTTACTTAAATATCCATCGACTGATGTACTAAAATGCTCTAATATTAACCCTTTATTTTCAAAACACAGATTTACACAGGTCAGCGTCCACGAATTCTGAAAAAAAGAAACCAAATATTTGAAGTAATGGATACAATGAAGAAAGGTATCTTTTAAATGAAATTATATAAACCGAATTTATCTTAAATAATAATAATAATGCATTGCCTTTTAAAGTTATCTTCGATGTTTACTGAAAATGTTCTTGATTATGTACACCCAATTAAATTTTTCGGAAGTGAACTACAATTTTTGCTTAACAGTTTCAAAATTTTAGGAGTTTTGGACGAAAATGGATTTTAAAAAAATTTCCCCCTGCTTAAAATTTAAAAAACTACCGTTTTTTTAAAATAAGGGATAGCTTAAGAAATCAGCATACAATGTTTCAAAAACAAATCAAATTTTAGAAAATTGAATAACAATTTTAAATAAGTGCACAAATATTTTCAATCTAAACACTGCTTTTTATGCCATTTTGAGAACCGATTTAAATATTTGAAAATCAATTTTTGTGAAGTGTCTTATATCAACTTTAAAATATTTTTATGTTCATTTTAACAACCTTTACTATTTTAAAAACATTATTGTTCGTCATCACATACAATAAAATAGACACTTGATGTATGCTGCCCTAAAATAAAGACATTTGTTGACAGTATGTACATGTATATTAAAAAAACATATATACATACAGATTTGACCATTAAAAAATATTAAATAAAACTACCTTAGATTGAAAACTATATTCACACAAAGTAAGTTTTACGGTAACATTAAAAAAACTTAGTTTATCCGATTCAATCTTGTTTATGAATAAAAACCATATTACACCAAAGAGTGCTTTTAAATATATTTTCCCTGTAAGAAAAATATGTTGTTTGTGTTACCATTATAATCTATCTTGCCGTCTTTATTTTTATCTGCTCTTTCAATTATATCACTAATCTCGTCATCGGTAAACTGGTCACCAGTTTTAGAGAGGGCATGTGAAAGTTCTTCTCTTGTGATAAAGCCATCCTGGTCTAAGTCAAGCACTTGAAAAGCAGTTTTTAATCGTTCGGCTTCGAAGTCCATCTTTATCATTTTAGTACGCATTACATTAAAATATTCCTCAAAATCTATGTAACCATCGTCTGAAATAGATAAAGGAATACTTTGTGGTTTATTGTATATATGAGGAAACTGTAAGGAAATTGTAAAAATATGTGCTGGTCAAAGTGAACAATAAAGTATTAATGAGTTTTTCTTTTTGACTTCCTATGAATAATATGATGAATATACAACCGAAGAAATATATACATACGGATTGATTTTCTCACAAGCGTGAAATAACGTTATATTTCCTTTTCGCTTTCCGATTTCTTCTTTTTTTATCCTTTTTACTACTTCTGAAATTCACATGTTCTAATCATTATTTTTTCAACATACTTGTTACAGAGATTATACGCTAAACTAAGCAATGTAACCTTTTTTAAGATTAAATTCTTAAGCGAGCTTATACCTCAAATCGAAAAGTTATTAGTTACGAATTTAGTTCATGAATACTTATTATAAAGGTTGTATGTATACGTAAGAAACAAGCACAGGTCAGAATGATATGTATAGTTTAGTTTATAAATTGTATATTTTGTTACCACTTATATAAAATTTGTGAAATACTGATTTCGGAGATAAATTTCAAAAAAACTTTTTGTACGTTTCCTTCTCGTTCCACGAAATCTCTTTTATGTACTTTATTATGTATATGTAATGATTTCACGTAAATATTGTTTAAATTATCGTGATATAATAAGGAAATATAATTCGTACGGTTTTTGCTTCGATTTTTTCGAACTTGAAATAGGTACATGTATATAGTGAAAGAAAATTATACATATGCTATAATTTCTATTGATGGTTTTCGTTCAAATTGCTAAGTGTATCCTATGTCCTAGGAAAGAAAACCAACTTTAGGACTAACTTAAGCCCGTTTCAATAAATGTACCTTCAGTCAAAGACTGTGGACAATAATTCAATTCATTTTCCTGAGAAAAGATAAAAATACGATGACATATCCTTTTATTCACAGTGTGTAATTCTCGTCGTCTGTATTGCTATTTAAGAGTCATAACATAACACCTAAGACAAATAAACATCATTATTTTGCAAACTCGTCCAGAAAAAAATAGCTAAGAGTGGATGAAAATGACTCAGTGTGTTTGTCTAATGGATATCAATCCTTTTCAAAATGATCTAGTAAAATATGTTTTATTTTGTTATATTCTTAAAAGATACTTTCTATGAATTATTGTAATTCCCAAAATCAGCAGTTTATGTGAAAGTTGTGTAAGTACTAAAATAAATTTCTGCGAATGAATAAATGATTTACAGCAACGCGATAAGAATGTTTAGAAACTACTTCAATACAACATATGCACCACTCGAAATGATGTAAAACTTCCCGCTAAATTTGTTTAATGGCATAATCAGAAATCATAAATTACACTCATATTAGTGTTTAACAAATAAAGTTGTTGCAAAAATGATGATAATTTTTTATATGTTAAACTGATCAGAAATATGATAAACCCTAGAATCTTTGTCGATAATAAAACTAACGTTTAATGATAAGTATTGGAAAACGTTGACCCCGAGTATAAATCAGATTGCCAAGGGTTTTGATGTTCTTTTTCTTTGTATTATAGGCAAAAATGAAACATATTTTTGTCATCCCAAAAATTGAAACCAATGTACAAGAATATGGGTATGACATTTTTATCATTATCCCTTTTCCTGTCGTCACAATAAGTAAATCCCATAAAATTGAAGCCAATCAAAGAGCTTACTCTATTTAATCTTCGACAGACAGCGCGGTAACTGAAGTGCGTGTAACTTACACCTGTACTGTACATCTATGGTTAAACGATTTAACTCGAAACATTTTCAACGAAAAGGACTCCAATTCATGACACATTTGTTTATTAAATGTATGACATTTAAGTAAAGAAGAATGTTTAGCGAACACAGTAAAAAATAATGTTTTACAGAAAAAAACTTAAATATCCTCTGTATAATTTATACCATTCTCGTCGTGTTCCAAGATGATTTTTGAAAGTTCCTCTTTTGTTGGATTGAATCCTGCAAGTCTGTACGCCCTAGCAATTTCACGCTTTGATATTTTGCCATCACCGTTTTCATCCAGCGACGAAAATGACTGTAGAATTACTGTAGAAGGGTAGTATTCATGTATTAATGTTTTATAAAAATAACATTTTAATTTAAAGGATGATTACCTCTGCAGCGTTTTACAATAGTTCTTAGGCAGCTAACATTTTAATGACACCAAACTAATATATGCTTGTTACTAGGATTCATAAAAAATAACCATATAAATAAACTGTTCATTTTTAATTTAAATTTTTAAAAAATGTACAAATTTATGTATTTTTATAAATGTATATATCAACTATATATATAAATTAACTGTTCATTTCTATTTTAAAAATATATAAACTTATGTATTTTCGTAAATGCAAAGCAAAGCTACATTATGAATGTTATAGGACTATAATGCATGTTATACTAATAAAGTATATGTTTTGTAAAATATTGTTTTGTTTTATTTATATATCTATGATGTCAATACTTACATTTAACTTGATCTTCTCGTAGATTTGGGTCTTTTGTTAAACAGTCCTCAACCTTCCTGGAAGAAGATTTTTTAAGCCGATATTTATAAAATAGCTTATAGAATTGGCCTCTTGATTTGCCGGACATTTTTCAAATCAATTTTTGTAATTAATGTAGGTAATACTACTACTAATACTAGGTAGATTGTATTAGAAATATTGTTGTTGCTTTTTCACAGTTGTAAACTTCATAAATTGTGGGACAAACTTTTAAAATAACAGGTATAAACTATTGATTAAAGTCACTGCTTTATAATTGCATATTCATACAATACAAATTATAAAACAATCTATCAAACATATTTGTTGATCGTATGATTCCGCAAACGAGTCTCCTTTCATTTCCTCTTTGCACAATTTTCAGTTTCTAGTCATCAATCACAATGGTTAAATCCAGAAATACACCTCACTTTAAAATCATATCTGGAATTTTAATTAAACCATTTTATCTTTTGTTTAATTATATTGAATAACTGCTAGCACTAGCCTCCCAGGCTATATGATAAAATGTTCCCTTATTGCTCCTTTGTATTTCAAATTGATTTTGTATAGACAATCAAATTGATTTTGTATAGACAATAAATGTTATGTATTTCCGATGTTTAAAACAAATTGCAAACGATTCATATATCAGTCTCTGTTGTTTTTTATTTAGCTAATACTCAGGAATCACTTCATTTTCCATAACCATTATATAGCGATTCAATCAAATTTTTCGACAAAACATGAAAAGAAAATATGTTTTATTATACCAGTGAATAAGGCCAAAGAAACATTGGCCATAACAAGTTGGTTCTAATGCGAAAACGTTTTTGTATTGATTTGGAGTTGAATGCTATCAATTTGATATCATATAAGATAAAATAATGTGCAAGGTCTTATCAAATATAATGAAATGTTAGATTGTTCGCTTGATTATAGGAACATAGTATACAGTTGATTAAAAAGGAAAAATGAATCGTCCTTATTTTTGTCAGATACAGTCCAATGCAATTTGTTTAGTTTATTAAATATCACCCAGGAATGAGCCATATGAGCGGCAAAAATAATACCAGTTTTTGCACTTATTACCGTAACAAAGAACCTTCATGAATACATGAATCTAACAACATTCAAAATGCAAGCAGTTATATAATAGTCAGAATGAACATGATATGCCGGAGAAGAAACAAAGAGTTCTTATGTTATAAAATGTTTTAACGAATCATTACACAAATGGCCATTCATTACAAATGTTTGAAGTAAAAGAACTACCTACAACCAAGTTTTGCCATGCATTCTTTTTATTTTTAAAATAATGTTCTTGCTTCACGAGAGAACAGAACAGAACTGTACATACCTCATTATAACGAATTAGTATGAACCATTAAGTGTTACCAAATATAATAAAATAAAATTGAAACTAAATAGATCACTGTATTCGTATATAAAAAATAAACGAACTTCTTACAACACATGTGAGGTAAAAAGCATAATTATTATTTTTGTAATGTGATTTAGTCTTTAAAGCCTATACAGTAGTATTTTCATACATTTGCAGCTAACATTATATAAAAAAAACAAGATATTTTCTGGACACTTTAAGTGATATTATGACCGTCTTTCGTTGTCAAATTGAACTTAAATAGTTACATATTTCAAAATATTGACTATTATACTGGTCATTGACCAAAAATTAATCATATGAACTGGTTAGGAAATAATATAAAAACTGCCTAAGAATAAAAAAAGACTATCCCACTCAATCTTCGAATGTTTCAGATACATTTTAAAGGATATTTGCAGAATTATCAGTCATGTGGAATATTGATTATGATTACATTGTAGGATACGAAATCAAAAACAATAATGGCAAAATAAAAAGCTCTTTTACTTTTACCTGTACACACACCATTTACGCTTTGATGGGCATAATGCAACTTTAAATCAGTGTAGACTAACATTTTAATTATAATCTCCTTAAATTCATTTGTGGCAGATACATTATTTTGCCGTATGATCGTTAAAATTATTTAACAGCGATAGTGATTTACTTTGGACATAACATATCTCTGCTTTAAATTTGCGGCACATGAAACAAATTTGTATATTCCATTCCTAGTTGCCCTTCTCGTTTTATTATTAATTTAAATTTCATACTTTGATTAGTTTAATAAGGTGGAATGACCACTGCATTCAGTAGCGTTCAGTCACCTAGTACATTCACACGGTATTTTTCTTGCTATATTCAATCAAGGTTTCCTTAAATAGCTTAGCATCAATACTCCTATGAAATGGGATATCATAATTTAGTTTGTTATAGAATAGATTATCAATGGAATTAGTATGTTAACATAGCTTTTAAGGTAATTGCTTTTAACGCTCTGGCGGGATCAATAAAAGACGCAAACAACCGTACAATAGGCAGATAAAAGTCTAAAGGTGCATTTTAAAAAATCTATTTCAAGACTGAATTGTTTGGCATTTTTTTACTTTAAATAAGGATTTCGATGAACTCAATTTGATTTTATATCTTTTGATTTTAATTTATTTTTCATTCTATTTATTTTATTATATACGAGTATATATTTTTTTTTGTTTCTTGGTTGTTTTTATGTTGTTTTTTTTTCTCTTTTTTTCTTTTTTTAACGTTTTCGTATAGCAACAAATGGTATCAAATATCATGCAATCTTAAAATCAAAATTAAACATATTTTTGAAAATCCATTTTTGTAAATTAAGTTTAAAAAAAGCTACGAAACTGTTTACTAATGAAATTAAAAAGACTGTCTAAAATGTAAATCGTTTAAATCAATTATAAGTTTTGAAACTTGTAGAAAATGTAATATCAAACTAAACGTTCTAAACTTAATATTTTGATTTAAAACAACAGTTTGACTAACTTGCATTATATTCTATAAGTATGTTTATACATTGGCAGCAATAGCAAAATAAAGCTGACCTGTGCGATAGTCATCGTTTGTGACACGTGAACCTTAAATAAGATGTATTCCTAACTAAGATTTTATATGCATGTAGCATGTGGTTTGCACGCATATCTAAATATCTAAATACTTTTTGATAAGATTATATACTTTGGACAAATATTCGGTTTTGTTTTCGTAAAGAAGCCCACGTGTTTGCTTTTTAATTAACAATCTTAAAACGTGTTTATCAGAATAAAATATGACTTTCAATTCGTAAAATATATACATGTATTACCCTTTCATATATGTGTAATTTGCTTATTCGTTTTGAATTAGTTTTTTCACTTAAAAATTCTGATTATTCAGCTGTTTAAGTTAGTGAACAAAGACTACATAAAATACTTGCTTCGTCTTTAAGAAACATATATTTATAATAGCGTTTATTGTATACATGTTATACTTTATTTGATACTAGTTAACTGTACTGTTTTAATATGCAGTTTATTTTTAATATGCAGTTTGCATAATTTATATGGAACTTAATAATATAGGTTTAATACAAATAAATCTTGAGAAAAGAGAGTGGGAGTAGTATTGAACATAGAAAAAGTGACCGACTCTCCAAAGAACATTCGAAACAGCAAATTAAAAATAACCCAGGTTCAGTTTGATTGAGCCTGTTCATGTGGAACAGTCAAGTGGAAAGTGCAATGCATCCTCCACGCCTAATATGAATATTAAAGCAAGTTTTTATCTAAAAGTAATAAAGTTTATATTTTTATAATTTAGAAATATATCTTTTTTAATATGAATAATGAACGTAACGGAATAGGACTAAACTTTTGCAAATTTCTAAGAACACATGATTTATTTAAATTTCGAATTACTAACAAATTAGGAAAAGACGTTATTATATCGATTGCTACGTATAAAGTATAATAAAAGTAATGCATTAACACTGAATAAACTTTTTATTTTAGAAACAGTTATCTTCATTCCTTAAGTTAAATTAGCTAAACCATCTTTTGTTTAACGATATAATTGAAAGAACGTGTATATTATTAGTTAAAAAGATGTTTGACAGGTTATATGGCCGAATATAAATGATTGTTTGTTTAGGAAATAGATATCAATTCTGAGTGCATTTTTGTAGAATAATGCACGGTTTGAGTTCAAATGCGTAGTAATATAATCACGAAGGCCAATAGGCCTGAGTGATTAATTACAAAGCATTTGAACGAAAAACGTGCATTATTATACAATATTATATCTCATTTGCATATGCTCTTCTATATTTAATATGACGTCACCCGGTCCATAAACCGCATACAGACCGGGGCGGTCCATAATTCTTATGAAGACCGTTTAAACGTAAAATTCACGACGTGCGAATTTCACGACGACACAAACAGACGATAACTGTCAAAATGGCCAGGCGATTCGCCTTTTTTTATCAGAGACTTAAATTTATTACATGTTGATCAAAAGTCATGATTTGTCTTTAATTTAATTATAAATTTTATTTATACAGTTTTTGAAATTCTTAAAGTCCGGGTTTTTGGCCTAGTAACATTAAATATTTAATTTGATTAACAAAAATGTAATATTAAAAGAAGAGCATGATTTTTTTTTTGCTGCATCTTTTGAAAATAATAAAACAAAATCCGACTAGGATTTTGGATATTTCACACACTGAACAAGTAAAATTATTATTTGAAAGAGAATGATAGTAAAATGACAGCACAAAACAAATGGATAAAGGATTTAGATTCGGTATAATATAACAAATAAAACATGGCCTTTCGGGCAAAATGCAAGTTTACGGACTGGTTGGTCAGACCTCGAAAGGAATATGGCCCTTAGCTGCGCTTCGGGCCATATACCTTCCTCAGTCTGACCAATCAGTCCGTAAACTTGCATATTGCCCTCAAGCCCATGTTTTATTTGTTAAATAATGCACGAAGAATTAATATCTATTTCCATTCTAACACGTCAAGAAAAATTAGAATTATTATTATAAAGTTTGACTTTATGTTTGGTGGTTAAATTTGTTTTCGCCTGAGAGTTTCCCATAGAAGGCTGTTCCAGTGGGTTGAAAAAAACTGTCGTTAAATCTACCGTGTGTAGAAACAATTTGAGACTAATGAATTTTGAAAACGTTGGAAAAACTTTGTTTGTTTTTTTATTTCACTTTATAATTTTTCAAGCGAAATACAAATTAATAAAAGTGAAATAAATGTAAAACTTAACTCGTTTGCGACATTAAAATAGCGTACTTGATTTGATTGTTTTGCACGTGCTGTTTGGCGCTACATTGTGACGTCACGTAAACAATACTTAAAACGTCTGTACAGCGTTAACGACTGAATTAAAGATATTGGTGTTCGGATTCATTATCTTAGTTAGACCATTTTCTTTCATTCTAGATAGCTTTCACAACAAATTCGACAAAAAATGTTTTTATTTATCAGATTTTTTAAACAAAATGGCACCCTCAATGTGAAAATACACAGGGAGGTAATAAGAACGGCGAGTGCATTGTTGGAGAATAGTGCACGCTTCGGGCCTTCTTTGTTTATATAGAAAAAAATCCGATAGTGTTAGAATTGTTTGTTTGTTTCATTTTAAGCCTTTTCCCAACAGTATTTTTCAGTCATATAGCCGGGTAGTTTCCTTACCATCGTTCCTGGAGAGTTACATTAGTACTAAACTACCTTCCTCCGCGCTTAACTACCAAAGCATATCCCGGGGATCGAACCCACGCCAGAGAGGTAACTGGATTAGAAGTCATCGACTCTTACCCCTCGACCACGGAGGCGGTTATGATTGTTTGTAAGCACAAACCGAGCCATTAGGCGAGGGTTTTATTGGAAACAACCGTTTAAATAAGTCCATATAACCTGTAACGAATTTATAATACAGCAAGCATATTTCTGACATATTACATGGCCCTAAATAAATGGTTGTTTGCAATATACCCGTTTATATAGGGCCATATAACCTGTCAAAAATCTGTTTAACTAATATTGTAATGCTTTGTCAACATTATCCATGCACTCTACTCTTCGTACTTAATCCGTAATGGTTCTTTTTTAACCCACACTGCCACAGTAACATCAAATAGTATAATATATTGCAATTATATGTATATTTTTTTTAATATTTTGACAATTATAAAATAAATATTCCAAAACTCACTGCTCAAGTTGTGCCTTTGTAGATGCACTCATTACTTTTTTTGCTCTTTTTATCCAACTTTTAACATTTGACTAAAACACTCTTTCGATCAAGTTCATTAAACATTTTGAAATATATGAAAAAATGTACATTTTGAATTGGATTAAATGGATTATTGCGTATAAATACATTAAGTAATACTTATTTTGTACGAAAGAAAATAATTTCAATTTAAATCGCAAGTAGGGCGCCTCTGTACAAGCCATATAGATGTATGTTTATTTAAAATAAAGCCTTTCTTTTTTTCTTTTGAATGTAGGTTTTGATTTGATGTAGAGATACCATATAAATTGATCATTCCTTTACCAATGGTCTATAAAAACTGTGCTATTTACGTCGTGAGATACAAAAAAAGATGAAATCTAAAGTACTACTTTAAATAGTGGTACAAGCTAATTAATTCTTTCTAATATATCGATTTTTTAAAATGACATTTCATTTTGAATGTAAATCGTGCACTAAATCCCTTAAACGCCATACTCTTTTATCATCAATTGATATACACTGTTAGAACGTACCAACCATAAATTAAATATATATATATATACGTTTCATGAAATTGCAAGCATTTTTCATTTTTAAGCAATCATTATTTGAAGTCTATGTCATAGTTTTAAAACATAAGTACTAAACATTAGTTTGTGAAATGAATTCTAATACTCGTAGTTAATGCAATGATAACATTTTACATGTGGATGATAAGACCAGTATTAGTTGAAATGGATGGCTGACAAGTCCACATCGTATGTTTAACGCAAATTTGCAACAGCGATGTTTACAAATGATTTATACGTCACGGCTAGCCAATGAAAATTGACGTAAACACATGCAGTATTATATCTCTTAAACAGTCCATGCATTTTATACCAGTTGTTATACATAAGTTCGATTATTCAAAATAGTTATATTTTTATTTTATTTTATGAATGTTAAATAAGACTTGTCCTTATTGATTCCCTTGACAATAGTACTTGTCATTTAAACATTGAAGTGTATTCAAAAATCCAATTTCCCAACTATTTAATACAGTGATTCTTTAATGCGTTAAAACTCTCGTAAAGTTAATACTGCTTTAACCTCAATAATTCCGTACCATGTTAACTTAATGTATTGTGAAAGTTTAATGAAGAGTACAGGCTAAAGTCTTAACATTATTTCTAATTACAATTTAAAATGCTTAGTACATATATAACATGAGTATACTATGCAAGTCTACGTTTCATTACTATTATCGTAACGATACATTATTATATGAGAAAATGCATCTGTTCCTTTCAAACATTTAACAGGCGAGGGCCGGTTGCAGTTACCATAAGTTCAGATTTTAAACGTAGTGGTTGCGATGAGTCGGAAGCCAACATCTCAAATTACAAATTGTAAGATTATAGGATTGTGACGCAGATTTTCAATTGGGACCACTTATTTCGTTCTTTGACACATAGTATATCGAGAACACACTGATTTTAGAATAGTTCTATCTTGCATTATCTTCCAAAACAAATGATAGACAGTCTAATAGCCACGGTAGATAAACGTCGGCGATTTTATGACATTTATTGCCATGGAAAACAGTACAGTATGGAATACTCATTAAACGATTTTATTTAGATAGACAAATAAAAAAATAAAAAATGCATAACATTTAAAAAGTTATGTTTTAATATGAAAACTATCGGGTTTTCTAAAGGACCAACTTATACGAGTATTAATCGGTAAACATAATTGTAATCTAAGAACTAAAATCTTACACGTTTGATTATGTAATCTTTGAAATATCAAAAGACAAACACTGATTATGCATAATAATAGATAACAAATGAAATTAATAAAATATGACAAAACATTTGAAATAAACATCTGAGATTAATTTCATTCATGTAAAGATGTGCAGATAAAATGATATGACAGATTTTCTAACATTTTATGCTGCGTAAAATGAATGACAGTTCATTCAAACATACAATTTTAATTGAAATCATAATTGTATTTACCTTGAAAACATAGAATTCCTTCGTTGTCGTGGCTGAGGAGGTAAATCCAAAAATGCCATTTTGTAAACTAGTTCAGAAAATCACAACTGTCTATGACTTTATGTATGATAGTTTACTATACACTTTGGTCAGCAAATATTACAAAACTAATAAAAATACTCAACAGTTGTTATTGCCACATCTTCCCTTTTGTTTATTTTGTCGGGTTTCATCTAATATTCACAAATCTGTCTTCACAGTCTATTTGTTAATGTTAATAAATGAAAGGCGGCGGCACCGCAGCGAATTGATTGATATTGAAGGTAAAAGTTTCTGCAATTTGTTTTGTATTATTAACCTATAATCTGTTTATCGACTAAAGTTTGATAACAAAAGCGTGATGTTAATAATTGATTGGGGAAAAAACTAGAAAATTGCTGCGAGTAACAATACGATTTGTAATGACAGTGAAATTACAAAAGCAAGATATATATTATCAGGATCACTTTTTAAATTACAACATCATTTTTATCATATGAACTTGTATTCTTAAAAAGAACTCGATCAAGAAGAATTTTGTTCAGTCATTTAATAAAAGCATATAACTGTATTAAACTGCAATATTAGATTAAAATATCCTAAAACAAATTTAAAGATAAACATAAAAATGATAAATCTAAAGGTACAACTTTAAAACTCGATTCGTTTTAATGTGTTCTTCAGAGATAAAGAAATGTGTGTTACTCCCAATTACACCGGTTTCAAATATTCATCATTAAATGTCTAGGAATCGGTGATCCACAACTCCAAAAAAGTATTAACATGCAATAAATGATATAGGTTCCATTTTTTATGGCAGCCAAACAGCACTTGGCACAAACATTAAAAGAAAGGGCAGAAGCGAAATCTCCGATTTTATAGTTTGTGCATATTACAAACCAACTTAACGCAATTATAAAAAGAATTCAAGAGCACGATCAACTGAAATCGAAAGAGACAAAAACACCCCAGTCGGCAAAATTTAAGTACATGATATATTTAAATTGAAGCAAAATATGTGACCTAAATCGGAAATGGTCATTGTACAATAATGACTAATATTACAATCCAATTAATTAAATGTATAAAGATATAAATCTAAAATTTCTGAGGAAAAAAACCCAGAAAAATCATATTATTTTTAGCACCAATATTATCACTATAATGCCATTTATCCTGCAGAATCCGACAATCCGATAATTTTGTCTAAATGTATACTAAATATATCACGTGTAATTACTGAAACATTAATTAGTTTTAATGCATTATGCTCATTATAAAAACTTTCACGTTAATTCCCAAAATAATAGAGCAACAACACAAGACACTGAACGCTACTTAGTAGAATGACTGTTAAATGAATGAATGTACTGTTGATTAATGACATAGAAATATATATAAGTTTTTCAATCTCTTAATTCTTCTTCCAAAACTAGGTGAGATTTGAGACGCTAGGACGCGGGGTAGGACAAATTGCAATCAAGATTTAGGGTTTTAATCACAGCTTAGTTAGTAACAGTGTTTTACTGACATTGATTTGTCAAAGTATACTTTAAAATCCCCTCGATTTAATTGACGCAACAGTTAATTAAGTCAGAAATTCAGGTTTTTTATCCTGCTTAATAGATAATTGACTTAAGTCTTGATATTAGAAATCATTTTATACTTTATAAATTCACCATGTTTAAAGATCCTGTAACTCATTTTTTAATGGTTTTATATCATAAATACGATGGCCAAATGAAGATTTATCAATATTGTAAGTTACAAAAAGCATTATTTGTAAAGATATTACCGAATTTACAGTTCATGTAGATAAAGAGAGGTAATAAGAAATTTATTTTCGACAAAGTCTTTTTCAATAAGGAACGAATGCATATATTTTAATGATTACTTATAATGCGCACAAACATTTGCAGTACATATTTAATACATTTTTGACTGTTTGGAAATTGTTTGGGGAGAATAATTAAATACATAATTATATAAAATTTCACTCAAGTGTTGTTACAGCCTTAAAAGAGGCTCTTTCAGTAATTTTTTGTTTGTTTTTGTTGTTTCTTTTTATTTAATTTTTTTGCTTTTTTGTTCATGTTGCTGTTGGTTTGTTTTTGTTGTTGTTGTTTTCTATTTACATTTTGTATTTCATTTATCTATTTATTCGCCTTTTCTTTGTTTGTTTTTTTTTAAACAATTTCTTTTTAAATCACACATACATGCCAAACAATAACTTTGACTAAAAACAAAAAAAAATAATAATTTTAAACTCGTATATTTGGTTATATTGTTTATTTCGATGGTTTAAGTATCATTTTGACTCTCAATGATTAATGAGGGGCTTTAAATGAAGAATCATGCTAAATTTTCATTTCTTCGTTTTGAATTTTTCACTCATTAACCTATAAATGTTCTCCAAAATACACTAGGTAGTCACAGGAACAAAACTTTTCTCCTTATAAAAATGAAATGGTTGTTTCCTGACCCACGTGGGTCAGGTTTGAGCGTTAAGATTTTACAATAGTTGTCACAGTGAACTCTGGAAGCGTGAAAGAACATGTCAAATGAATGATTTAGGTTTGTTTCAATCATTCTATATCCACAATATCTGTTATTGTAACTTCCAGGGTTTGTTCGAGTCACATGAATAGTTTTAAAACTACTCGGTGATGCTGTCGGCGTCTAAATTTCGTTTAACATATATAGATATATCTACGATTCAAACTCAAAATATGTAGAATTTATACAGAAATTCATGCTGGCACTTTTACAAATGTGACTTTTGCGTGATTCTAGTAAATAAGTAAATTTTGATATTTTTGTCATTAATTTGCCCGAGTATCCCTTTAAATGTAAAGTTTACATAATTTCTGAGTAGAAACACGGACATTTTACAAGCATGCTGATCATGACATGTTATTTGACAAGAAAGAATAGGGCACCAGTGGTGAAGAATGAACCCTTTGTGATTGAAGGCAATACACTAGCAGCCAGCACGGATCACCTCTACATCAAAAACCCTAACTCTTCCCAACCCACCCCCAATTTCAGCTTTTCCCTGCGACCATTTTCGATAGCAAGGCATGTTGTTTATTTTTATAAAAAAATTAATTACCATTAATAAATTGTATCGATTGCCATTAGTCAATTGAATAATAATATTTGATACACAAACTTTATTCTACATTCTATGATGTTGCGATGTCAAAGAATGGCATAATTCTTTTACCCGAGCAGTTTTATTAGGAGAAGTTAATTGTTCTCATAACGGGTTTGCGCTTCCGGTAAGCACGCTTTTATTGGATCTCACGACAGGATGTTAACAATCTTTTCACGGTATTAAAAAGTTGAAAGGCAAAGACAGAATTAGAATCGCTGAGAAGGATATAGTTATTGTGTCAAGTTATTGTGACAAGCTTCATGTTAGTCCATAATCCAAATAAATTAATACATGTATATCGACTTTGGATTTATAAAAAAGGCTTTCTTTATCAACTGCAAGTAGATGATCTCATTGAAATAGGACAATAAACAATGTGAATGGATTTCCGAAATGTGCAAGGTGTGTAAATAGATTCCTGCTTTGGCACAACTTATCGAAGTTATAAAAAGTTTTTAATACATAATTTCATTTTGATTTAAATCAAATTTCATCCTCATTAAACTTGACCAAATGTTATTGCTGGACATATAAACTTTAAAATTTCTTAAATTAAACAACTGTTGCTGTCCGTAAAATAATCTAATGCTATAATGAAATTACAACTATACTAAATAAACAAATGCCTTCCAATTGATCTTAAGAAAAAAAACACGAACTAGATTAATTGAAAACAGCGTAAATTAAAACCTGTATAAATAAATGTCTTATTTCTGTTTGGCTATCAGATTAATCCTTGCACAAATAGTATCAAAAGAAAGTGGACATTTCTAAAGGATTATATAAATGTATAGTAATCATTCCAAAATATTTACTAACAGCGCATACACATAAATGATCGTTTAAATGACAAAATTTATGTACTGATTTAGCATTTGAGTACAAATGTCACCTTTCAAAAAACAGAAAAACGGTATTTACAAATACATATAACCTTTCGGCACTTAAAGAGATAAAAGGCCTAAAATATTGATATTCATACGCTGGTCATTTTTGGAAGCATAGAATAGCGGCAAACCCCTGATCTGATGGAGATATTCATACAGTATGATTCCCATTCAATGCCCTATTTTGCCAGCTGGACTTGCTCTCAAGTCTTTTATTTTTGCAACAGTAAACCAACTGCATTGACCCAGCGGGGAGGCAACTGAAACAAAACGGCTAGCATGTAGTCTCGATCCAATTAACTCATTCAAATCGAACCATTTTACTTTAATAGTTTAGGTTAATAAGGTCTGTACAGAACATGTGTACGTTAATGTGTCAAATTAGACACAACATTTATATTTCTGTTGCAATCGTTTGTATATGATATAAAAAATTCGATTTAGGACCCTGAATTTTATATGAAAATCTTGGTTGTCAAAGTTTTAGCTTTTCTTGATTTATGATTGGTAAAAAAAGAGTATTTATCTTGATTTACATCACAAAAATATTTTAAACTTAAGATGAAAATGTTATTAAATTTCTACATGCCTTATCATTTTAATTGTAAACTTGAATTATATTCTACAGCACAGTTAAAACTGGAAATTAACGTGCTTAAATTTTAGATATTGAGTTGGAAAAACTGATATTTGTTCGATATTACAGATACTTCCTGATATTTAACTCAGTTTTCTTCAGTCATATTAGGACTGCCAGCTTGAAATTATACATGCCGTCATACTTCAGCACATTTCTATACATAACCAAATTTTACTGCACATTACCGTATATTTCTACACATTACCGCATATTGCTACACATCACCACATAATATTGCACATTACAGCATATCCACACACATTACCACGTATTACAACCCAGTATTACTACACATAACCGCATATTACCATACATTACCATTACCATACATTTAAAATACACATACTACCATTCATTAACACATATTACCATACATTTCCACATAGTACCACAACATATAACCACATATTGCTACACATTACCATGTATAGATACACATTACCGCACATTACTATACATTACCACATATAACGGTACATAACCAAAAATCACTACACACGACTACACATAACCACATATCATTACACATTACAACATGCTACAGAATTAAATAAGCAACTTTTAACATTTAAAATGCGCTTTGAAGTAACATATTTTTAATTAATATTGGCTGTTAGTACCGAGTGTTGAATAAGGAAATCCTAAATTCTATCATGGTTGCTCGTCATGTATGATACAAAATACTATCAAGATAATTATTTATGATATAACATACCTTCCATTTTGGACCAATTTACTTCAAACAAACAATATGATTTTTTTTTTATTTTAAATTATCAATTACATAACGTTTTGTGTGAGCCTCGCACAAATCGTTGATTATGTAATTGATATATTAAAATCATTTGATAGGTGTGAACCTCACACAAATCGATGATTATGTAATTGATATATTAAAATCATTTGATAGGTGAAACAAAACCGTTTTATTTTTTATTGTTTAAATGGCGACAATTATTTCTTTGTATATAAATGTCTTAATAGCTGCATGTACTACGGATATAGAAAATATTAAATGAGTGAAATTATAATACTGAATTTATTGAACGAGATGAATGATATTATTTTATTCAACGAGTTCAATAAATTAAGTATTTAACTAACACCAATTTTATATTCTATTTATCACATACCAAAAGTAAAGACCGTTTGAAGTGATTAAGAACCATTTTTATTGACGGCCTATAGTATAACGTTAACATTTAGCACGACTTAACCCTATGTTTATATAACGAAAATGACGCCACGTCAATTGTAAAAGCGGCACGGGTAGGCGATAAACGATATTATTTACAATATGTTTAAAAATAATAATAAATAGTCTTACTTTTTTCTCATTTTTGATTGATAAATTAAATTAGCAAGTACTTTCTACCTAAATATCTCCCCATGATAACTAGAATTCATTTCAAGTTATGTATAGACAATTATGTCCTAAAGTGACTTTGTTTTATTCAATAGTGACTATTCGACTGTTCTTTACTATTCTGTACGGCATTTCGGGTATGGCAAGTAAACTATTGTGTCATATTAATTAAATGTTTTCTTCAGAGAATTGATAAACATGTTTGTAAGATTAAACATAAAAGATAGTTTGGATTACAGATATACTCTGCTCATCATTGAGTAAAATATTTTAATCTCGGAAGTTTATTGAAATCTATGAAATTCGTACTGAATATGTCTAATTTGATAAATTAATGAATAAACTATGTATTGTAAGCTGCGTTAACTAGAACAGGTCAAGTAAAAAGCGACTATACGATATACTCATAGTGTGACCACCTATAGTGTGTAGAATTTTAAACAAAATATATCTACATTGTGTGAAGTGAAAATATGTTTATTTCATATTTACAAAGAGAGTGTGTAGCATTCATCAACAGTTTTTAATATCAAATTTAAGCATGGTATATCTTTAAAACTATTTCACAAGTGAGCAATTCTTAGACAAATTCATGATTGCCAAAGATGATATAAGATTGCTATATCATTTAATCAACATCAAAAATTATAAATGTAATATAAATTTATAAGTTATAAATGTATTTTTTTCAGTCAAAACAAATGTATAAAATTATCTATAAACAAATTAGGTAAAAATGCTTGGAGTCCAAACAATAAACACATAACTGCTTTTAAAAAAAATCAGTGTAGCATTAATTTGTGTTTTACTAAACACATTAGCGAATTTTCCCGATTTCTAAATTTCATCATTTTATGCATAAATGTTGACTTCCGCTTAGGATAAAAATATATCACTACAAAGAATGTAAGAATGATCACCATACCTTGACAACAAAGAATTTCTCCTCCTCCCACGATTATCTTGAAAATTATTATATGACATGTTACTTTGTGTTAAAATTATAAAAGTCTGTTGAAATGATATATCAAATCATTCTTTAAAAGCTAAAGCATTCCTAAAACCATTGAATACACACAGAAAGTAATACGCTTTCCTTATTTTTACAACTTATTCCATATAATCCGGCCACAGGTGGGTCGTTTTAACATTATCCCTCCATGTCTGACAATTTAAATAATGGTTTTGGAACAAACCACTGTCATTTATTATTTCAGGTTATTTTTATGAACAATATTTGTTCAGTTAAATATTAACATAAACATAACACGACAAGTTATTATTTTTATGTCCCCTCTTCCTACCGCCCATGTGCCCTCTCCCGTCTTCGGTTAAGTGGCCTGCTGGGACTTTGTCGACATGGCTGAGTTATGTCGGGGGTTGCATTAACATTTGTTATAAATTGCCAATGACTGACGTGGAAATATAAGCCAGATCTCAGTTAATTTGATTTGTACGATTTTATTTTCCGTAAAAGATGATGATGATGATGATAAAATAGAAGAGAAAAGAAAGGGGAATTGTCTAAGAAGTCGAGCTTTTGAAAAAAAAAATGCTTACTCAGAATCAATATTTTATCTGTAACCGATTCGGATCTGTGATGATGAATCTAACTTTAATATTGCCGAGATTTCAAACTAGGTACAATATAAATAACTTTAAATCAAGCTTTTTATAGAAATATATAAAATTTCGACGAGTAAGGCCGTGAAATCAGACATTGTTAAAACTAAGGGAAATAAATTTGAAAATCAAAAACTGCTCATCTTAGCTTCTCTCCCTTTATATATCACAAAAAATGAATTTTGGATTAAAGAATTATGTAAACTACTTAAGTAATTTTAGTTAAGATCCGATTATATTAACCACATACGATTAAAAGTGAAGGACAAACATTAGCTTTACTGAACAGTCTTTGAGTAAATGAGAGCTATCAGCCATATAAAGCAAAGCGAATTTTACACTTAAATAAGGCAACCCGAAAACAAATTGTATCTAAAGAAAATAATTCAGAAAATAATAACAAAAAAAGTCATTGTTAATGCAAAAGGTTTTATAAAAATCGAATCATTGTAAGGTATTATAACGGCGTAGTAAACAGCTTCAACTTTTATACGAAGTACTCCCTAACAAACAATGGCTATGAATATATAGAGGATATTTGTTTATTTGTGTGCAAGATGAAATTTTAATTCATCGAGTGAGCTTTAAAAACAGTATTCTTTTTTTTAAAGTTCACGAGATGAAATAAAATTACATCTTACACAACAAACAAACAAATTTTCTTTATATTTTATGCTTAAAAGCAACTTTAAATGAAATTACCATAATATTAACTTTAATATTAAAATCTGTTTTCCCCACTGGTAGCCTCATTTAGTCGAATTTCTCATAAAATACAAGAAGTCTTGGGCTGAACAATAAGTTCGACCATCAACGTTAAACAGCGATGATATTACTCATTTTATTCAAATTATATGAATGATCGATTATTTTTATAATAAAAACAAACAATTCTACTAGGAGAAAACTTCAAACCATCCATCTTTATTTCTGTTTCCTACGACGAATTTATATTAGACCTGGCTCTGTGAAGGATGTTAGCAGCCGCCATTTTTAAAAGTTGTGTATTTCACTGGAGGAAAATAATTGCGTTTGATTAAAAGGGATATCATTTGACTTTGTAAGTCAAAAATCTTTTTAGAAGAAAAAAAAACCTATTTGAGGATTGTTAAAGACAATAAATTAGTGTTGAGAGATGTTCAAACATTCAAAAAGCGGCTAGGAAGTTCGAAAACATGGAATTTTTGAAAGGTTGCCTTATGAACGCTTGGTTGTTTACTTATTCTTCGGGCTGATGGATGTCAGTGCTTTTCAAGTTATTAGGCAGTTATTGCTCGTAGGATACTTAAATATGCCCAAATGTCACCCAG